TACTAAATAAATGGAAAAAAATTAGTTTACCATGTATTAGACATTTAGTTTGCCTATATTATATCGTATAATTTACATAAAATATGGTTATTATTAACAAAAATAATAAAAAGGTTTACCTTCAGATGTGTCAGCAGTTTAGAAGTTGTTTTCCTGAAGTAGAAACAACATTTACACTTTATCTTGATATGACCATATCTAGCAGTAGGAAGTAAGTAGTACCACTGAAGGCTGTTTAGTAGCCATCTTAACTTCTCTCGAATGGCTTGACTGGATTAATAACTTTTAAGGTGGTTGAAGAGTATTGACCTGATTTAACCCTCTCGCCATGGGTATCCTTTACTGCTCATGTTACGATACTTTTAGTAAGTTACATTGAACATTTAATTAAATTACTTTTTGTTCATGTTTTGCCAATTAATATAGCATAAAATCATAGCTACTAATTCACATTTTAATAGTATATAAGTTTTAGGTGCTTAATTTTATAAAGCAGCATTAAAATAAAACCCCGAATTTCCCCTAGTGTGAAAATTATGACTTTTTTCTCTAGGCATCTCCTCTTCTCAAATTTATTTAACACACCTCCAAGAAGTACTAAAAATAGCGTAAATTACTCTTTATAATGTTGTCATCGCTTAGTCAAAACATAATTTTCATAGCCTTCAATTAGCCATCAAACAGAAAATCAAATCCCTCTTGTCACATCCTCTCTTTCAGGATTTGGCAATAGTACTCTCTGACGTTCATCACTATATTATTTATAACCAATAGAAAGTAACGGGTTTCATCTATCAAATGACGTATTATACTATATTGTTTTCTGTTCAGAAAATTGTTAATTTCTCTTTCACGACAAGCTTCGTTCCCAAGAGAAACTCTCCCGTGGGAACGAAGCTTGTACTGAAAGAAAAATTAACTTGCTGCATATATAATCATGACAGTCTAGAAATTTGATGGGTACAAAAGTTGACAATTTACCCCTACAATATCAAGTATTCACTAAATCATTCTGCGAATATGAATACTATGCCATTGAATTCGAATATGAATACTTTAGTTTCTCCTACCAAAGTATTCGCATACAAGTACAAATACTCTCAAAGTTCCATTATAATGCATTCGAATATCTGTGTCTGGTGTGAGTTATATAATTTTGCTTGCAATGTATGTGTCCTTGTATTTTATGTCTGTATAATCTTCAACGTAATGATACAAACTATATATTTCATTTATACTTTTGTAGGTTGAATGCCATGCTTATTTTCCACAAATCAAGTTAGTTGAATTT